GAACACCGGCATTGTAGGCTACTCTCCCAGGAAACAGTCCTCGTCCTCCGTAAAATGTGTTGCACACATCTGAATATTTGGTTTGAACTGTTCTGGAACAGTGTTGTAAATACAACTTAACCACTGATTTCTAGTCGTGTCCTCTTTTGGAAGGCCAAACAAAGTATTTTCACTTTCGCAACGAAACACACATTGTCTTCAAAACATGGTGGCGGCGGTGGCAGCAACAATAAAGTTACGCCTTCTTTCTTTGCGTGAACATTTGGGCTGCGTTATGCAAAACTTCCCACATCGTGACGTAGACATGTGGGGGCGTGTTTAAACGAGGCGTTTTAGGAGGGCGTGGACCAGTCTTAACTTTTATAAAGAATATCTATTTGGGTTTGAGACTTTAGTCTTTGCAACTTTAGGGATCTTATCTATTCACGAACAGCTTGTAACACTCCAAAGAGAAAGGAAAACTTGAAATCGCATCATATGACCCCTTTAATGGCAGATCTAAATGACTGCAGTGAGATAATTCAGAGACATTACCTGCAAAGTATCTGTGCTCATTGTCATGCATCATCAGCTCAATCGCGAGTGCTTCTTCCAGAGTTTGGTACTGCTCCTCTTCCTCTCCGAAGGACCTGTCATGTAACACGACATCCCACCTCAGCATCTGAGTGAATCAGAATTCTTTTAAAAAGAGATTAGCATAGACGTACGGTAGTTTGGGAATCCAGGTATTTAGCCAGTCAACCCAAGCAGCTGTGTTCAAGTAGGATTTTCTTATGGAGTCCCATGTGTCAAGGATTCTGAATATGAAAGTTGTAATGGGATATTTCAAGCAGTGACAACAGCCTCATACAGTGTCATGTGTTATAATTTGTAACTTTTTAAAATACATTTTAAACTATTGGAAATATTCCGACTTCGTACTTGAGAAGCACAGTACCAGTCAAAAATTTGGACATGGTTTGTTTACCATGATCTTCAAAAAACAAACAAACGGTAGATTATAATAATACAAGAAACTTGTTTCCTAGACAAATATAAATTATGGCTATGCAGCAGTCATAGTTAATAGTTAGTAAATAGTGAGAATTATAGTAAATAGTGAGAACTAAAGTGTGACTTGTAGTTGGGAAATTAATTTAGCACTCCACAGGAGTGCTAAAGAAGCTGATTAAAAACGCCCAACCACTAAACCTGAAATGCAGTCTCCATTAAATAATAAAAAATTAAAAAAGTGTGGGGTCAGACGATTTTTTTAACGTTTTTCACAGAAGTCTTTATGCAATGCTGCATTTATTTAAAATACTGTAAAACTGTAATACTGTGGACTACCATTACAATTTAAAATGACTGGTCCCTATTTTAAAACATTTTAAAATGTAATAAATTACTGTGATGCCAAAGCTAAATTTTCAGCAGTAATTTCTCCAGTCTTTAGTGTCACATGCTCCTTCGGAAATCATTCTAATATGATGATTTGCTGCTCAAGATACATTTTATTACTATCAAAGTCGAAAACAGTTATGTTGA